CTGATATAGGAACATCTGCTCAACCCTCTGAGGCATTCCAGTCTGTGACCCTGATGTCAGGGAACCTCAAATGCAAAAATACAGTATGGGAAGAGCCAGTCTAAGCCTATCAGACTGGGTGGACTGGCCCTGGATGGTGAGTGTGTTGGAGGTTGGGGAAACCTCGGCTGAGTGGCTGGGAAAAGGAGCCTGTGAGATCAAGTGAGGAGTCCCTGGTGGTGTGAACGGTTAAGTGCTCAACTACTAACCAGAAGGTTGGTGGTTCACACTCATCCAGGGACATTTCAGAAGATAAGGCCAAGCAATCTGCTTCCAAAGGTCACAGCCTTGAAAGCTATATGGAACTGCAGTTCTAATCTGCATGAGTCAAAATTGATTTGATGGCAACTGGTTTTTTTTTTTTTTTTTTTTTTTAGTTTCGATAGGCTGTATGCTTCTAGGAATTTGTCCATTTCATCTAAGTTATCAAGTTTGTTGCTGTACAGTTGTTCATTGTATTCTGTTATCATTCTTTTGTGTCTATTGGGTCAGTTGTAATGTCTCCACTTTCATTCCTTATTTTGGGTTATTTACATCTTTTCTCTCTCTCTTTTTTTTTTTTTGGTTTTGTGATCAACTGGGACAAGAGATAGTGTTGCTGAGTATCAGTGCTGTTCATCACTAGGGCTGGACTGCTCACATTCATCTTCCATTAATCTCACAATTTCCCCAAGGGGATCTTGACTTGTGTTAAGAAATAAACAAAACCCACTGCTGTTGAGTCTGAAGAGCTAAGGCTAAAAGCTAAGAATGTGCAAATGGATTTTAAGTGTAAGACAAATTTTCAAATGAAGCATGTTTGTTAATGATTCCCCCCGACAGTGCACCACACCTGAAGCAGATTGCATTGCAGCTTGGCTATTACTGCATTTTGTTGCCACACAGAGAAAACACAGCTCTTCCTGAAAGCAAACCAGGGCCTGGCCTTGCCAACTGAAGAAGAGGTTATCTGGGAGACTTGACCAGAAGTTTTGTAATTTTAACTCAGACATAAAGAACAAAGGCGAGATGGTTTGCTTTGATACTATTTTCACAATGGGTTGCAAGTCAAGAAAATAAATTACCAAGTAAACTGTTTTCTTTCATCTTGTTTACTGTATTGCTATGCAGCAACACTAAGCTAGTAATTAAGGACCATTCCACCTCCTTCAGAGACTTTGATGTAAAATGATGTGACTCCATATTTTTTGCTTGTTGCGTTTCTAAGCTCTCATTAATGTCCATAAAAATTGGTCGGAACCAAAAAGGCAAAAAGCAAAAAAAAAAGCAAAAAAAAAAAAAAAACTGCATCTGAGAAAAAGGGAAATTTAATTGCATCTGCATTTAGATGTCATAATTTCCATTATTTGCTTGTTTTTTCAACATGCTGCAGCTTCATGTTTTGAGACACTACCTCTACTAAATCATACCTAAGTGTAACAACTGATAAATTGGTAAATTAGCTCATTGCTTCTTCAACAGGTATTTATCAAATGGTGGCTAAGTGCCAGGCACTGTGCTGAGCTCTAGAAGAAGACAGAGAAGAATAAATGGCAGATCTCTGCCTTTAATATGCTTATCTAGTTGGGGTACAAGTAGGTTGGTGACAATGCAATCCAGAGGTGAGGCACTGTGAGATAAACATGCCAGGGGTCTTGTGAAAAGCCCAGGAAGGACACAGAGCAAAGGCATTTATCCTTCTTCCAGCCTCCTCTCTCCTTATCCAGAAATAGGAATAGTCCTGGGCATCAACCTCCTCTTTCCTTTCCTTGTACATTTGGTAGGGTCACTATGAGTCAGAATTGACCGTGTCATGGTTTGAATTATGTCCCCCCAAAAATGTGTGTATCAATTTGGCTACGCCATGACTCCTGGAACTGTGTGATTTTACTGTATGTTGTAAACCTGCCTCTATGATGTTAATGAGGGAGGATGGGTGGCAGTTGTGTTAGTAAGGCAGGACCTGATCTACAAGACTGGATTGTGTCCTGAGGCAATCTCTTGAGATATAAAAGACAGAAGTGAGCAGTGAGACAGGGGGACCTCATACCATCAAGAAAGCAGTGTCAGGAACAGGGCGCATCCTTGGACTGGGATCCCTGCGCAGAGAAGCTCCTAGTCCAGGGGAACACCAAAGAGTAGAAGGCCGACAGACAGAAAAAGCCTTCCCCTGGAGCTGACGCCCTGAATTTGGACTTTTAGCCTACTTTGACTGTGAGGAAATAAATTTCTGTTTGTTAAAACCATCCACTTGTGGTATTTCTGTTATGGCAGCACTAGATGACTAAGACAGACTGGAACAGGTTTGGGTTTGGTTTTTTGTTTTTTATATTTAACCATAATAACAATAGAGGCCACCCTATACTTAATTGTAATAAAGTGATACCATCAAATGGAGCCAGAAATTTACATTTCTAAAGAAATCGCTCATGTTTTCATCCAAGTTTTTGGTTCAGAATGCTCAAGTCCAAAAATCAAGTTCCACACACTTTTACACCCTTTCCTCATTTATGGACATGGTTAGGTTCCAAAGACCAGGTCATTATGTGAAATTGGCATTACGTGAAAATGGAGGATTACTACATCAGATCACAAAATGGAGGATGACTACATCATTACATAACTGCCAAATTACATCATTATGTAACTGCCAAATTATATCATTACGTAACTGCTAAACCACTGAGAATCATAGCCCAGCCAAGTTGACACATAACCTTAACCATCAAAGCCAGCGTTACTCTCGCCTTGCCCCTCTGTGTTCGTTACTGCCAGATGTACATCATTCATGCACAAAATAGTCAGATAGTAGATTTTTTACTATTGTCATAAATGTGAAATGTTAGATAATGAGATAATTGATATGTGAGGAGAAGGTGTAATGAACGCTTTCATATGTAGAACATGGAGCACCATGCTGAGGGAGAAAGGAGAGGGAGCAGGACATGCAGGTGAATTAAACCCAGTTTCCATCTTCATGAAGATGAGACATTTTGGAAAATGCAGAAAGTACTGTGGGGATTCAGGAGGATGTGATTATTTCCAACTGTAGGGCCAGGAAAAAAAAGAACAAAAACCATGAAGGCTTTCTACCTTGGCAGTATTTCTTATCACTGAGGCTCCCGCAGAGTTGTTTATCCTCTGTTTCCACATTTTCAAAATAAGCATTGGGCCTTGAGGCTTATTCCTAATCAGAAATACCTAGAAAATAAGTTTAAAGAAAAATTAGCCATTGTCATAGAATGACATAAAAAGAAAGAGTAGACCCTGAGACCAGAAGTACTAGATGGTGCCCAGCTACCACTACCAACTGCTGTGACTGGGATCACAACAGAGGGTCCTGGACAGAGTGAGAGAAAATTATAGAACAAAAAATCAATTCATAAAAATAGACCAGACTTAACTGGTCTCACAGAGACTGGAGGAACCCCCAAGACTATGGCCCTAAGACACCCTTCCAACCTGAAACTGAAGCCATTCCCGGAGACCACCGCCCAGCCAAACAATAGACAAACACATAAGATAAACTCTAATACCCAAGAGGAATGTACTCCTTAGAACAATCAACTACATGAGATCAAAAGGGCATTATCTGCCTGAAAGCAAAGATAAGAAGGCAGGAAGGGGAAGAAAATCAGGACAAAAGAGAATGGGGAACCTAGGGCAGAAATGGAGAGAGTGCTGACACATTGTAGGGAATGAAACCAAGGTCATGAAACACTTTATGTACAAACCATCTAATGGGAGACTAATTTGCTCTGTAAGCTTTCACCTAGTACACAATAAAAAAGAAAAGAAAAGAAAGAGAAAGAAAGAGTAGAAGCAACTAGTATAGGAAAAGTTGTGAACACAAATAAAGGGTACGTAATATGTTGTTATATGAATAAACGTAAGAACTTTTGAAAACTGACATTAATGGGAAACCTTTATCATCATCATTGCTATCACACTATTATTTTTAAAATCTGGCTTTAAAGCAATCCAAGGCAGTACACATGTTTTCTTAAACTTCAAGAAATAGGAAAACTGTTTGGCTAGAAAGATTTAAAGGCTGTTAACGCTTTCCTAAAGTGTTAGATTGAGGTGTATACATATGTACATTTTTCTTCCTACTGAATCATATGTTATCAGGCATCTACTATGGATATGAATAATAACTTAAATGTGTATACTGCTTTTAGATCAATGCTTGCAAAGCAATTTCACGTTCATTACGAATCCTGTACAGTATATAAGCCTGGGCTGGTAACTTTCTATATTCTCTGTTCCTAGGATGAACTAGCACCTGCCAAATTTTTGAGACAGCTCACGGCTTAGAGGAAGGCTCATCTAAATAAAGGCCAGCTAAAGTGACATTGCTGGGATTTAATCCTTCTCTGGCTGCCCGTGTGACCAGAAGGCTGATTTGCAAGTTTCTTCTTTCCTGGGGTCCAGATTTCTATATCGCTGGAGCCCTGTGGTTTGACAGCAAGAGAAGCTGGAAATGAAGAAGATTAGAGATAAGCACCAGCAGCAGGAACCCACAGGCCTCCACTGGCTTTTCACACAGCAGAATGAAAGAGTCCCTGGCCATCAAAGGAAATAGTGAACTGGAGCCTTTGTCCTGGGACACAGCCACCCGCTGCAGAGTGTCAGACCCCATGAGCAGCCGGAAAGTTCCTGGAGACTAATCAGGGAAGTGGCTCTTGGTAGCTGGATGTGCCGCACTGTGCAGTCGGTGAAAGGCTGGAAGTTCACCACGCGGGAAGGTGTGAGATGTCTCGAGTGAGGTGAGCAGTGCTTCGCTTGGCTGGGCAGACTGCTGCCAAGTTTGCCTCTGCCTTCCTCTGACTGAAGCCCTGAGGCTGAGGTTGCTCTCAAGGACCCTGGGCTCTGGCAATCCCCAGCGCCCATCTCCCACCCGCTGGCCCCCTTCCACTCCTCCCCACCCTGCCCTTGACCGGCGCCTCTGCTGAGATGGAGACGTGAGCCTGCGGTGGACGATGACGGCAGTGTATGCGAATGGAGGAAGCCTGGTGAACCCCCACTGCGCCAGGTGGGATCGGCGGGACAGCGTGGAAAGTGACTGTCAGACGGAGTGCAGCAAGGAGGAGGCGGGGCAGCCCCGCCAGCTGACTCCCTTCGAGAAGCTGACGCAGGACATGTCCCAAGATGAGAAGGTGGTGAGAGAGATCACTCTGGGGAAACGGATTGGCTTCTACCGAATCCGAGGGGAAATTGGAAGTGGAAACTTTTCCCAAGTAAAGCTCGGGATACACTCCCTAACCAAAGGTAGGATCTGACTTCCCAAGAATCACCCCCCATGGCATTGGGACCTGGTTTAGGAGCGGAGTTAGAAGGCTGGGACCAAGGAAGGGAATGTCATTGGCTGAGCCCTTGCTATGTGCCAGCCCTATGCCAGATTCTTTGTTAGTATCTCAGTTAATTTTCACAGTGATGGTGTGATGTCAATATTTTTATTTCCACTTTACAGACAGGGAAACTGAGACTCAAAGAAGTTAAGCGTGGCTTGCCCAATGCTACAGAGTTAGTAACTGGAAGAGTCAGTTATGGGTTTTAAGGAAGGAGAGAAACTAACCTTAGGAATATTATGGAAACTTTAAGTAGGGATAGAATTTGAGCTGGACCTCAAAGAGGGATAGGATTTTGGGTGGCAGTGATTCTAGGAGAGAGGAGGGTTAGTTAGAAGGAGAAGGTGAGCAAAAGCATGAAGATGAGAAAATGATATATAGTACAGTTTCCCTAAATATGAGGGGATTGTGGAAGAAAGGGCTGGAAAGCTAAATTGAGGCTAAATCATGGTGGACTTTGAGCATTTTGCCCTAAGGAGCTTGGAGTGTTTTCCTTAGTAATGAACAATCATCAGGCTTATGTACAACCAGACACCTCCTGGGATTTGATTCCTTGGTTTGGAGGGTTAGGGTCATGGTTTCATGGGACATTCCGGTTAATTGGCCTAATAATGTGTTTAGTGCTTCTGTTCTACCTCTTAGTTCGTTGCTTGGGGTTTTAAAACCTTGCAAGTGGCCATCCAAGGCACAACAGTTGGAGAGTCAGGAATAGGAGGATGATATGGAATATGTGGCTAATTGCCCCCATGAACAACTGTCTCCTTTGCCATGAGACCAGAAAAACTGGATGGTGCCTGGCTACCATTACTGAACATTTTGAGCAAAGATTCCATAGAAGAATTCTGATCAAAAGGGAGAAAATGCGGAACAGAATTTAAAATTCTCATCAACTCTAGACTTTCTGGAGCCATGGAGCCTGGATAAAACCTTGAAAGTATTGCCCTGAGACGATCGTTAAACCTTGAACCAAAACTGTCTCCTGAAGTCATCTTAAGACCGAACAATAGTTTAGCTTAAGTAGTAAAATAGGTCTGCCTTAAGCATTATGCTCTCTTAAGATCTATCTATATGGGATCAAATTGACAACAGCAACTCAAAAGATTAGACAGAAAGCTTAGAGAGCAATGAGTTTATGTTAATGAGGAACAACTCAGAAATAGAGGTTCAGAATGGTTGCACAACTCGAAGAATGTAATCAATGTCACTAAATTGTACATGTAGAAACTGTTGAATTGGTGTATGTTTTGCTGTGGGTATATTCTCACCAACAACAAAATAAACAGAATTTAGAAGAAAAAAACAAAAGGATTATCAGGATTTTTGCAATTAGAGCAGGGCTTTTGGAAGATGAATCCTATAGGGGCAAGAATGAAGTTTGGGAAGAGAGATGCAGGAGGTAGAGAAGTGTCAGAAAGTTACTGTGATAGTCCAGTCAGATGGAGAAGACCCTGAGCTAGGATGGTACAGTCAAGATAAAAAGGGGAGCTGGGCAGAGCTGAAGGGGAGAATCTGTAGAGTTGGTGTAACTCACTGGAAGTGGAACTGATGGTGGAAGAAGGCAATGAATATGAAGCTGAGACTTGACTATGCAGACTGGAAGAACATTGATGGCTTTAATAGAAATAGAAAAATATTAAGAAAAAGCACATTTGGAAGGGAAAATTATGAGTGAAAACTTTGACATCCAGAAGAAGCTGTCTACCAGGCAGTTGGATGCACAGGTCAAGGGCATGGGCATGAGGTCATATCAGAGTTGCAATGAAGTGCTCATGGAAGTATATGGCAATCACCTAGGGAGATGGTAGAGAAGAATGATGAGCAACGTCTTGCACCAATTCAGTAAAAATAAAAATGCTGTATTTTTGCTCCCTCCTCCTCCTTCTTTTCCATTCAAAATGAAAATGGCCTTTTCAAGTCTTATTTTAAGAATTATGCATTCAGAATGTAGCAACATGAAGGCAGATTTCTATTTTTTCCAAAATGGGAAACTTATAAAAGTAATTGCATCTGTAAGACATTCATCCCTTACAAGGGAGGATGTGAGACTTTGTCTTACATGCTTTGGACATGTTGTCAGGAGGGACCAGTCCCTGGAGAAGGACATCATGCTTGGTAAAGTAGGGGGCCAGTGAAAAAGAGAAAAACCCTAACTGAGATGGATTGACACAGTGGCTGCAACAATGGGCTCAAACATAGAAACGATTGTGAGGATGGTGCCAGGACTGGGCAGTGTTTCGTTCTGTTGTTCATGGGGTCTCTGTGAGTTGGAACTGACTTGATAGAACCTAAGAACAACAACAGGACATTCAACAATATGGAAGGATACAATGGAGAAAGTCAAAATATCATTCCCTAAATACAACACCCCCTGAATAATTACTGGTTTACATTCTGAGTGACCTTTTATGTATACACAAGCATATGTATATATGGTGTGGTTTTGAGTATGCCAATGGTATCTATCATTCACTGTTTTTTAAAAAAATATTTTATTGTATTTTTGGTGAAAGTATACACAGCAAAATAGGTTCCTGTTCAACAATTTCTACACGTATTGTTCACTAACATTGGTTACATTTTTCACATTGTGTCAACATTCTCATTATTTCCGTTATAGTTATTCCAGTCCCATTAACTTCATCTCACTGCTCCCCCACTGCCCCATCATTCTCATCCATGGTTTAGAGTAACTGACGACCATTTGGTCTCATATAGTTAATTTTTAAATGAGCATAGTACTCAAGTACTCGCAGTACTCATTCTTTACTTTTTTAGTTAACCTGCTATTTAGTTAAAACATGACTTCAGGGAATAGTTTCTGTTCAAAGTTTAAAGAGTATCTCAGAGCAATAGTCTTGGGGATTCCTCCAATCTCATAAGGCCCAATAAGCCTGGGTTCTTTGAGAATTTGAAGTTCTGTTCCACATTTTTCTCCCTTTCTATCAGTATCCATCTGCTGTGACCCTGATCAGGACATTTGATATTGGTAGCCGGGTAGTTATCTAGTTCTTCTGGTCTCAAGGTAGAGGAGGCTGTGGTTCACGGAGACAATTAGTCTTGTAGACCAGTTCCTTCTCTGATTCTTGGGTTTCCTTCTTTCCTTTTTGTTCCAGACAAATAGAGATGAATAGTTGTATCTTAGATGGCTGCTCTCAAGCTTTAAAACTCCAGATGCTGCTCACCAAACTAGGATGTAGAACATAAACTTTATGAACAATATTATATATAACATGTTGTTTTTATTGTCAGGTGCCATTGAATCGGTTCCAACTCATACTGACCCTGTGTACAACAGAAAAAAACATTCCCCGGTCCTGCGCCATCCTCACAATCATTGCTATGCTTGAGCCCATTGTTGCAGCCACTGTGTCAATCCATCTCATTTAGGATCTTCCTCTTTTTCACTAACCCTCTACTTTACCAAGCATGATGTCCTTCTCCCGGGACTGGTCCCTCCTGATAACATGCCCAAAGTATGTGAGATGAAGTCTTGCCATCCTTGCTTCTAATGAGCATTGTGGCTCTACTTCTTCCAAAACAGATTTGTTCATTCTATATATAACATAGCATTTATCAATATATCCTTTTTCTTCTGTATGACTTAGTGGCATCAGTTACATTAGTCAAGCCAGTATTGTGCTGCCTTTCCCATCACCATAAACAATAAGTGACTACTATCTAGAGAATGATTCCCTATCTTCCCCATCACCAGTCCAGTAACCACCAATGAACATTGGTCTCTGTATATGTACCTCTTCTTGTCGTTTCATAAAAGCGAATTCATACAATATTTGTCCTTTTGTGATTGACTTATTTTGCTTAGCATAATGTCCTCTAAGTTCATCCACATTGCAAGATGTTTCAGGAGCTCATTTTTCTTTATGGATGCATAATATTCCATTGTGTGTATGTACCATATTTGTTTATCCATTCATCCATTGATGGGTTGTTTCCATCTTTTTGCTATTGTGAATAGTGCTGCAGTGAACATAGGGGTGCATATGTCTGTTCAGGTCACTTCTGTTAAATCCCTAGGGTATATACCTAGGAGTGGAGTTGCTGGATCATAAGGTAGTTCTATTTCTGATTTTTTGAGGAATTGCCATACTGTTTTCCACAGCAGTTGCACCATTTTACCTTCCCACCAGCAGTAGATTAGGGTTCCAATCTCCCCACATCCTCGCCAACATTTGTTGTTTTCTGGGTTTTTTTAAACAGGCATGAGGTTATAGCTCATTGTAGTTTTGATTTGCATTTCTGTAATGGCTAATGACTGAGAGCATCTTTTCATGTGTTTGTTGGCTGCTTGAATGTCCTCTTTGGTGAAGTTCTGTTCATGTCCTTTGCCCATTTTCTAACTGAGTTATTTGTCTTTTTGTTGTTGAGTTGTAGAAGTTTTAGATATATTTTGGATATTAGACCCCTATCGGATACATCATCCCTGGAGACTTTTTCCCAGTCTATAGGTTGTCTTTTTACTCTTTTGAGAAAGTCTTCTGATGAGCAAAGTATTTCATTTTTATGAGGTCCCAGTTATCTAATTTGTCTTCTGCTTTTCGTGTATTTTTAGTTGTATTTGATAATCTATCTTTAAGAAAAATTAGGTCCCGTAGTTTTGCCCCCGTGTTTTCTCCCAAGAACTTTATAGTTTTAGCTTTAACATTTAGGTCTTTGATCCATTTTGAGTTAGTTTTTGCATGCAGTGTGAGGTATAGGTCCTGTTTTATTTTACTTCATGTGGATATACCGTTTTGCCAGCACCATTTGTTGAAGAGACTGTTTCTTCCCCATTGAATGGACTTTGATCTCTTGTCAAAAATCAGTTGGAGTGAAATAAGTCAATGACAAAGGACAAATATTGTATGAGACCTGTATATAAAAACTCATGAAAAAGTTTACACACAAAAAGAAACAATCTTT